GGGGGGGGGGGGGAAGCGCGGCGCGACGAGGATTAACTCTTAATGAACCTGCGCACTACTATCCGCGCCACCGATTCTCGTATTGATTTCGTATCAACTTTCTTTTTCTGCAAAAATCGGGGGTGGGACGGAAAAAGTGGGCGAGATTCGAGTGCACGCGCGCGCGCGCGGAATTCACTTAGCGGCGATCGCACGTCCTATCGTGAGAATTATTAATCGGTACGCGAGTTCGACGGGAAGAATAGTCTCGTTTACGGCGGTGTAACACATGGACCGCGGGGGTAGCGCGTCCGCGATTGTTTGTATCTGAATACACAACGCCCCCTCGTCGATTCGGCGCGCGTTTTTGCGAATTATTCGCCCCGGTCGCGACGCCACCAATACACTCAACACAGTTCACTTTGCTCGACGCAACATTCACACCTACATATATTATGCGTAACATTCACGCGCGCGCGTATACATACATATATAATGGCCAGCATATAACAATTATTATCGATGTTTGTTGCGGCTGCACTAATTGTGTGTTTTTAATGGCTTGGCTGCGCACCACCCCTCCGCAATATCCTCGATACGGGGGCGTGATGGGAAGAACGAATCAGATTCGGTCGATTAAAAAGGCACGTGCGAAAAAATCCGGGACAGAGCGGGCGGGGGAAGGAGGGGATCCGCGTGCACGGATTAACGAATCGCCGCGTAATCGGCCGCCGATGAAACGAACGTTTCGCGCTTCGACACGGTCGCGTCGTCCCACCGCGTTCTCGAACCCAAGTCTCGCACCCTCGCGAGTCGCTGATTACTCGATGATTTCGTTACGTTCTCCATTAGCCGACACGGCTACGAGACGACGACTACTACTACCACTAATACTCCTCCTCTGGCCCGATAATATATAGTCCCCCGACCCTTTCGTACATATCTCTCTTCCTGTCTCTTTCTTTCGCCCCCACAGCTTTTGAATGTCGCCTGCACTTACTAATGTTTAGCTTACACGTGCGATTTCCTGCTTGTTCTGTACAGTATTAAGTTGGAGCTGGAGAAACTCGCCCAGGAGAAGACGGAGATGCAGCGCCACTACGTCATGGTGAGTCCAAGCTTACAGAACCTTATCGCGAATAAGCAGATGAGCGGATAATGCGACATGACGTGTGTTTTCCTCGCGGATCGACGTATCTATTTTCGCGCACACTCTTGGCTGAACGGTCGCGACGCGAACGTTCAGAATGGTGGATTTAGATCGCGCTCGCTTAAATTTGTGCCACGATGCAACGCTGCGAGTACACTGAAAAATATTTCTCATATATTCTCGAATTTTCTGATTAATGGAACAAGCAAGCTTCTTCGTCTGGCGGCGATTTTCGCTTGGCAATTATCACCGCGCGAATACAATTACACGTTCAGGTTTCAATTGGCTCCTTCCCTCTTGGTTTGTCTCAGTGAAGCCGCGACGCGCGCGTTTGAGAATCGCACGGATCATACGATCCTTTTCCGCAATAAAAAATACCCGTCTCGCGACGCAAGTTGGCGACGTAATTTAAGAGGCCCCGGCGTTTCTTCGCCAATGCGCGGGAGACGAACCCCTCCTCGGGCTCTTGTTTTTCGACTTTGTCCCGCGAGGATTTACGCAGACGCCGCCGCGAGCCTCGGCTTACTTTCGCCCGTAGATCTTCATTATCGCGATACACCGTCAGCCGTGTATGCGTCTTCATTAAGCGGCGCGAAGAGCCGCGCACTGCTTTCTTCGCGGGAGGTCGAAGGTCGCCGAGGGTGCCGCTTTTAATCTCGCGGCCAACTCTCGACGAGTTACTACGCTCGCCGGTACCACGGCGCGCGCCCACGTTCAGCCGTGCGGTGTAGCCTTTTGAAAAAAATTGAAATGCGCTTCACAGAGATCTTTTGCTACGCGCAATTTACGTCGCGATCCTTTTTGTTAATATATATTTTTTTAATTGCGTAAAACTGCAGAGACAGAAAATAGGTCTTGATCTCCTTGTAAAAAATATTTGAAAAGTAGTTTACGACGAATAGTGTCCCTAGAAGATAGAGTCTGACAATTCATCGGGTCTTTTTCCACTGGTTCAGCTTGCAGGCCCATCAAAATGGCGGAAGCAATCACAGTGGTTCATTGTATCATGTCATTATTATATTATAAAGTCACAAATGCAAACCACTTACGGATTTCACTCTTTTAAAGAAGAATAATTCTTAACGCTCTTATTTTACGTTTAAATAGTTGCCATCGATTTTATGCTAACCTTTATTGCAGCGTCTGTGATAATAAGAACATCAAGGTTTATTATAATCATGATATAGAATGATGCAAAAAGCAACTTGGAGCACGTTTCACTCGATACTCGCGACGCATTTCGCTGACACGAGTCAGCCCTGCCATAAAAATGCGCCATTTTAAGGAACAAGTGGCCACCCGAGTCGGAATTTTGATTCTATTTTTGATCTCAATATTTCATTTAATGTCTGTTTTGATATTCTAAAGAGCCTACCTCTCTCGATTCTACTTAATCTGTTAATTTTGCCGAGAGGTCCTCTTTAGAATTTACAAGTGGCATTTTGTGCGTTTTCTGCCATTTAGAAGCGTTAAGCAGGATTTCAGTTTCTGTGTGCATTAAAAATACACTTATCCTTCAAAATATACAAATATTCCGGTAAAAAGTAGAATTCAAATCGACTTGTGCAGACTCTATCTCTTAGGAACATTAACCACGAAGAGGTATTCATGTCCCGACGACTTCTTTTCGTCTTTTTTTTTTTTTTTTTTTTTTTTTTTTTTTTTTTTTTTTTTTTTTTTTTTTTTTTTTTTTTTTTTTTTTTTTTTTTTTTTTTTTTTTTTTTTTTTTTTTTTTTTTTTTTTTTTTTTTTTTTTTTTTTTTTTTTTTTTTTTTTTTTTTTTTTTTTTTTTTTTTTTTTTTTTTTTTTTTTTTTTTTTTTTTTTTTTTTTTTTTTTTTTTTTTTTTTTTTTTTTTTTTTTTTTTTTTTTTTTTTTTTTTTTTTTTTTTTTTTTTTTTTTTTTTTTTTTTTTTTTTTTTTTTTTTTTTTTTTTTTTTTTTTTTTTTTTTTTTTTTTTTTTTTTTTTTTTTTTTTTTTTTTTTTTTTTTTTTTTTTTTTTTTTTTTTTTTTTTTTTTTTTTTTTTTTTTTTTTTTTTTTTTTTTTTTTTTTTTTTTTTTTTTTTTTTTTTTTTTTTTTTTTTTTTTTTTTTTTTTTTTTTTTTTTTTTTTTTTTTTTTTTTTTTTTTTTTTTTTTTTTTTTTTTTTTTTTTTTTTTTTTTTTTTTTTTTTTTTTTTTTTTTTTTTTTTTTTTTTTTTTTTTGTCAAATTGTCCTCGAGTGGACTGCTTTATTGAGATACCACGCGCGGCCGCAAGTTCGTGGCCCCGAGGTTCGTTCGTTGCCCAAGACTCGCGCGGAGCGTGCATTATTACAGGAGTACGTAATAATTTATAGGCCGTAGTCGCGGCGGGGACGCGCGCGCGCTACGTCGGTCGCGCGGTCGCGGTCGATGCAAATAACTTGATATAAAATGCGCAGCGCTCGCTCTGGCGTGGACGTGGCACTTCCGCCGATTCACGCGGCGCGAAGATTAATCGCACGATCATCTCACGTACGGCCACGTCGTATGTGCGAGAGAGAGAGAGAGAGAGAGAGAGAGAGAGAGAGAGGGAGAGAGAAAGAGAGAGAAAGAGAGAGAAGGTCGCTCGCTCTTGTTCAGGTATGCCGTCCCCCCTGCCCCTCTCGACCGATCGATCTTCGCGCGAGTTCCGCGCATCGATCCTTTATTCCGCGGCCGCGTACCACCGATCCGGTACTCGCGTGTGACAGC